CTTGCTTTTTTCACTTTTCACAAGCTTCTAATGAACATTCCTGACCAAAAGGAATGTCAGTTTTGATACTGTCTCCCCTATGTTTTTCAAGTTTTAAATTTTTAATTATTTTTTGAATAAATAATGCATGCACATGGTACAAAATTCACAAAGGACAAAAGGATGTCTTTCCCTGTTCTCAGTAACATAGTTTCCTTACAAGAGGCAAACAGTGTTCCTGGTTTCTTGATTCTCTCTATATTTATAAACTCTTAATTTTTATTCTCTCCCACAAATAACAGCATTCCATTTCATTGTCCTACAACTTACTGTTTTCTCTCAATGTCTTAGACTCTTAGAATCTTAGAATCTTCCTTGTCAGTCCACAAAGAGCTGGTTCATTATTTTCACACTACACAGTACTCTGCTGCATGGGTTACCATAATTTTGCTGGGTATCTTCCAATCTTTTAATATTAGCAAAAAGACTGCAATAAATATCTTTATTCTTACCTCTGTATGATAAATACTTAGGTCACAGAATATACAGATTTTTAATTTTTCTAAGTAGTTCAAATTGCCTTGGATGGAGATACTCATCTATGCTCCCACAGGGATCCCCAAGAGTGCCTGTTTCCTCATATAATTGCCATCACTCTGTGTTATTGTGTTTTTCATGCTTTCAATCTGATATATATTAAATCAGAGGAAGAGAGACAGAGACTGAGAGATCATTTTTAAGGTATTGGCTCACATGATTGTGGAAGTTAGCAAGTCCAAAATATTCAGGGTGGGCCAGGAAGGTAGAGACCCAGAGAAGAGTGAATATTGAAGTTCAAGTCTAAAGGCCATCTGCTAGCAGAATTCCTGCTTGTTTGGGGGAGGTCCATCTCTTTGTTCTATTCAGACCTTCAACTGATTGGATGAGACCCACCTACGTTAGGGAGGGCAATCTATATTACTCAAAGTCTACAGATTTAAATATTAATCTCACCCAAACATCCAGAATAATGTTTGACCAAATTTCTGAGCACCATGACCCAGCCAAGTTAACATATAAAATAAACCATTACATCCAGGGGAAAAGATCAATTGCTTAAGTTCACACAGTCAGCCAGATGGAAGTTTTGGTCTATGTCTAGAACCAAGGATCTCTTTATTTAAGCCCAGTTCAGACCTGTAGTTTTAATACTAGTAACACTTACATTTGACTCCCCAGAGGGTTCAGTTTAAGCAGAGAAACCCTTTTCACCTCTGCTAAACATTTAGAAATCTGAGATAGTGCTTATCCGTCACCCCATCCCCTTCTGGCCCTTGGGTCAACTCATAAATTCATCCAGGGAGGAGGGAGAACTAGCTTCAAGAACGTGTTGCTGACATGATGAGGGCCAACTGTGTGGTCAGAGGACTTCTGGGAAAAAACATAACAACAGAAGAATGCAGGAGAGTCCTGGAGTGTTGTTTGAGGCAGAATTTACCCATTTTTGAGCCATTTTGTTATGTTTTTTGGTTTTTTGGGGGGCAGGATGTCTACGAAACAACCACGTAAGGAAAAAAACAATAACAACATTCTGCTAATGCTTGTATCTTTCTGTTTTTATTTTCTCTGTCTGGAAATAAAAGCAAGTGTTCCATTCATGTGGAAAGGATCTTATCTTCTTGTCTTTCCAGAACAGACACGTAGGCCCAAAGCTGAGGATAAAAGATACCAAGTGCTACATAATCTAAGTTGAGAGAGTTGCCAGCCAGAGCCAGGCTTTGGGGCCAGTCCTGCCCTCAGGGTTTACTAAGAGGGGTTGGGTCGATGAGGCTTTTGAGGAGAGGGGCACCCAGGTCTCTACTAATGAGAATGCCCCAAGGAAAAGTCTGTGTTTAGCCCTGCATCAAGTTCTAAAAACTGGAAAGGAATTCAATGCTCTTTTTCGTAGTTTACCTATCTGGTAGGAAAATAGAGCACAATGATAACTTTTAAAAATATTAAAAAGACGCCCGATTGGATTCTAGATCTTTCTTGTGGCTTTGTGTGACAATATGATTACAGTTTCTGACATCTGTCTTCTGAGTCACAGGGGAGCTAGCAGAGGGGGTGGAAAAGGTATTCAGAGCTGGACTTCTATCTCTCCAGGTCACTCTCTCCTCTGGAGTCTGGGAGAAGGCTTTTGAATCACATTTGAGTTTTAAATTCAAAAATAAATGGGACAGTGACTTAAATATTGAAATGAGATGGATCTCTGAAAGTAGCTACATAGCTGCGTTATTTAGGGACCTACTCCATGGTGTGAAAGGAGGAGGTCCGACTTAGTATAAGTGGGGGCAGTTGGAAAAATATTGTTTCAGGTCTTTATCCCATGGGGTTTAGGATCTCAAATAAACCATTTACCTGCAAAATAATCCCAGCAGCTGAGAGATGCCCAAGGCTCTGTCAGATGAGCTTGTGATCTCCCAGGATGCTGCAAATCCTTGATCCATCTGATGGATGTTAGAGCAGGCACTGCCTTGTTCCTGGCAGCAGCTATCATCATAAATTAGTAATATATCCTTATTTTTAAGAACTTCTATTAGTCAATGACAGCCACACCCCTACTGGTTAGAGGAGCAGCAAGGACCAGGCTGCAGGCATTTTTAACTTCATGCAATGTGGAGTACAGATCTTCCTTGACTTGTACAGGGCTACATTCCCATAAACCCATCATAAATTGAACATATTCTAAGTCGAAAATGCATTTAATACACCTACCCTATTGAACATTACAGCTTAGCCAAGCCTATCTTAAATGGACTCAGAACACTCACGTTAGCCAATAGCTGGGCAAAATTATCTAACTCAAAGCCTATTTTATAATAAAGTGTTGACTATCTCTTGTAATTTATTAAATACTTTACTGAAAGTGAGAAACGGGATGGTTGTATGGGTGCAGAATGGCTGTAAGTATATTGGTTGTTTACCCTCCTGGTCACCAGGGTGACTGGGAGCTGTGGCTGGCTGCCATTGCCCACCATCATGAGAGAGCATCGAACTGCATATTGCCAGCCCAGGAAAAAATCAAAATTCAAAATTCGAAGTAAGGTTTCAACTGAACGCATGTAGTTTTCACACCATTGTAACGTCAAAATATCGTAAGTCAGATCATCATAATTTGGGGGACTGTTTGCACTGTTATTACTCATGGGGTCACTGCAAGAATTAAATTGAAATAAGGCATATAAAATGGTCAAAATTTTGTGAATTGATTGACTATACTCTGTAAATGCCAATTATTTAAAATAGTCTGGTATGTAGACTTCTTAGCATACTTGTTGGTCAGGATGGCAGAATATTCACTAGGCAGGTTACTGTAGCAGTTCTCAAAATATAGTTGCAGGACCCCACTTTGAGGACCTTTTCAGGGGGTTATTGAGGTCAAAACTATTTTCATAATAACACTAAAACGTTTTTTTATTTGCCTTTTCCACTGTCACTCACTCATGAGTGCACCCTGGAGTTTTCCAGAGGTTCACAGCTGGTGATGAAGTCACAGCTTCAACGTCTAATGGAATGTATGCTTTGGTATTCTTGGATTTTAAAACTTTTCTCAGCCTTAATCAGTGGCTGCCAAGGACTGGAGGTGGGTGGAGGAGTGGACTACAAAGGGACAGGCGGTAATTTTATTTGGGGTGGGGGGTGAAGGTGCTATACCTTGTTTGTGGTAGTGGTTACACCGCTATGCATTTGCCAAAATTCACAGAACCAAATATAGGTGAATCTTATTGTATAAATGATACTTCGGTTAAAAAAAAAATTTTTTTTTCTCGATTTTAATTTCTAATAGTCTACATATACTTAGATATAACCCACATACACAAAAGATCTCAGAAATTTTTAAGCATACCAAAGGGTCCTGAGACCAAAAACTTTGAGAGCCACTGAATTAAAGCATTGATTTCTTTACTAAAGCAGGTGCAATCACTTGCTCTGGAGTTGGGGAGAGTGATTAAAAGGGAGTGCAAATTCTCTCTGGCTCTAAGGTTCTAGAAGCTGTGTTGTCCAACGTGGTAGCCACTGGCCACATGCGGCTGTTGAGCGCATGAAAAGTGCCCGGTTCAAATCGAGATGAACTTAGTACAAAAAAAGAACATAAAGGATCTTGTTAAAAACTATTATAAAGAAATGACAAGGGCGCCTGGGTGGCTCAGTTGGTTAAGCGACTGCCTCCGGCTCAGGTCATGATCCTGGAGTCCCAGGATCGAGCCCCGCATCGGGCTCCCTGCTCGGCGGGGAGTCTGCTTCTCCCTCTGACCCTCCCCCCTCTCATGTGCTCTCTCTCATTCTCTCTCTCAAATAAATAAATAAATAATCTTAAAAAAAAAAAAAAAGAAATGACAATATTTTGGACATAGCGGGTCAAGTAAAAAGTTATTGTTAATATTAATTTCATCTTTTTTTTTTTTAACTTTCACGGGGCTATTCGAAAATTTAAAATGTGGCCTCCGTTATATTTCTACGGGACGGCGCTGTTCTGGAGGGAAAGAGACTTCACCGCCAATCTCGTTTCCACCATACAAGCTACTTCCTACTTCCTGTGAAGTGTGGGTCACTTTGGGGTTGGTGTGAAGGTAGAATGTGAGTAATGCATGTGACGTACTTAGCAATGCATGTAAGTAAACAGTAAGTTCGGTGGCTATTGTCGAAGGCCTCGCTCTCTCTGCTGGTGCCATCAGAGATGGGCCAGCCTGCTCAGTAAAGGCCCTTCCTCCGCGACCTATTTACACTCTGATGACACCAGAGGGTGATAACTAAGGGTGGCCGAGGCCTGATCCCGCTTTCGGGCGGGACTGCCCTCTTCATAACGAGAAAATTAAAATGACCCCAGGAGCTGGCAGTGGGACATCTGTATTTAAAATGCACGGAGCCAGAGTAAAAGTTGAACACCCAGCGGGCAGCGGGCCGCAGGCCCTCCCTTGGTAACCGACGCCGCCGCCGGTTGCTAAGGGGGAGAAGGGGAAACAAGGATGTGGTCCGTCGGCTCTTGTTCTCCGGCGGCAGCTGCTTCCGGTTCTCCGGGGAGCCTGTACTTCGTCCTACCTTCCCCGGAGGAGCTGGGACTGCGGCTGCGGGTTCCGCCGCCTCGGGAGCCCTGGGAGCCCTCCGTCCCGCGCGGTGGTAGCGGCGGGGGCGGCGGCGGGTCTCCCGCGCGGCCGCGATGCTGAGCTCCCGGGCTCAGGCGGCGATGACCGCGGCCGACCGGGCCATCCAGCGCTTCCTGCGGACCGGGGCGGCCGTCAGGTGAGCCTTGGGGGGCGGGGCGGCCGGAGAGGCCGGGGCCAGGGTCCCCAGCCTGCGCCTGCGGCGGCCTTTCCCGGCGCTGGCAGGGTCGCCAGGGCCGGAGCGAGCATTCCGGAGGCTTCTGCGGCGGGCTCGGTTGGAGGCCCAGGCCCCGAAGCGGGACGGCGGATGGGCCTCCAGGCCCTCCAGTTCTTCGGCAACGCCAATTCTGTCAGCCCTCCCCAGTTCTGCTAGCGCCCCAAATTGTCAGTGCCCTGCCCCCCACCTGCCAGTGCCTCCTCCAGTCCTGTCCTTGTCCCCAGAACTTCCAGACATCCTCAGGCTTGTCAAAGCCCCGAATTCTGCCAGTGCCCCTCAGGCCTCTCAGTGCCGCGCAGGCCTTCCAGGACCCCTTAATCCTTTCAGGGTACCCCCAATCCTTCTGGGCCCCCCGGTCTTGTCATTCCCTGGGCCGCCAGCGTTCCCCAGTCTTGCCAAGCGCCCCAATCCTGCCGTGGTTCTCACAGCCCTGCAAAGCGACCCAGGTCTGCTAGCCCTTCCCCCATTTTGTCAGTACCCCTATTCCTGTCATCCCCCCACCCCCTAGTTAAGCCAAGGATCCCTTACTCTGTGTGGGTCCTCAGTCTTATTAGTGAATCTCTATCTTGCAAGGGTCCCGGAACAGATCAGGATCCCTTAACCTGTAAAGGCTTCCAGTCCTGTTACGGTCTCCCATTCCTGCTAGGAACCCCAATAGTATGGGCCCCCATTCCTGTCAGGGTCCCTATTTCCCTTTTCTTCATCCTCCCATGGGCTCCAGTCTTGAGAGCTGAACGCTGCACCCCCATTACTGACCCTAAATGACTGAGACCTGTTGCTCAGCCTAGCTGCTTTCCTCTGGAACTGGAGCAGGTTTAAAGAGCTTATTAGTCCAGGGCCAGGAGCTCTTAATGGCTATCCTGTCCAGTGCCCCCATTCTGTAGGTGGTAAACAGGCCTTCAGATGGCTTTGCCTGTGGCCCTCCAGCTGACCTCACAGTAGAGCTGGGGGAGAAGACAGATCTTTTTATTCCCAGACCCCACTGCTCTCCTTGTGTTGTCATTTTGCAGAGGAATGGGGGTTCCAGAGTCACCAAATTTCACTGGGCTTTTTTGTCCATACCTTGCTGAGGAACCTGGGCAAGTCCTCTCCCAACCCTTCAACACTGTCTTTCTGTTTCCCTCACGAGGTTTGTGGTTTTAAGCACAGACTTGGCATGAGTTCAGATCCACGCTGCCTCACTCACTTTGACCAAGTTGGCTACATCTCTAACGTGAAAATGAAGATGAAAAAAAAAAAAGAAAGAAAGAAAATGAAGATGATAGGGGCACCTGGGTGGCTCATTCGGTTAAGTGTCTGCCTTCAGCTCAGGTCATGATCCCAGGGTCCTGGGATCGAGCCCCGCCTCTGGCTCCTTGATCAGCAGGGGAGTCTGCTTCTCCCTCTCCCTCTGCCCCTTCTCCTGCTTGTGCTCGCACTCCCTCTCAAATAAATAAAAATCTTAAAAAAAAAAAAAAAGAAAAGAAAATGAAGATAATAGAACCTACCTGTGAGATTGTTTTCAGGATGAGATAAGATGATCACAGTGCCTGGCATAGAGTATGCACCCTTAAATATTAGTGTTTGCTTAGGGGATTTAAAGCAGTTGTAAAGTGCTGTAGAATTTCAATGATGGTTCTTTTTAACCTTTCCAGGCACTTTTGTTAATACACCTGTTGCGTACCTTTCCAAGCACTTTTGTTAATACACCTGTTGCGTGGAAGTCGGCACAATAAAGCACTAAGAAATTCAAGGATAACTTTCCCGAATGAAATTGAGATGATAATACTTAATAATCATAGCAGCTAATGTTTATTAAGCCCTTACCTTTGCTTCCTATGCCCTAGCGCTTGTTTGATTCTCAGAACTCCATGAGCTAGGTCTCATGGTCGTCCCCATTTTACAGGTGACAAAGCTGAGCCTGAGAAGCTAAAATGATCCTCTAAGGAATAGCAGAGCCAGAATCGAACCAGATTAATGCAGCGCCCGTTTCTTAACCAAGTTCTGTGTGCTTTCTGTTGACTCTGTCTTCAGAGAACAAAGATTTATTTGGAGGGCGCCTGGGTGGCTCAGTTGGTTAAGCAACTGCCTTCGGCTCAGGTCATGATCCTGGAGTCCCTGGATCGAGTCCCACATTGGGCTCCCTGCTCAGCAGGGAGTCTGCTTCTCCCTCTGACCCTCCCGCCTCTCATGTGCTCTCTCTCATTCTCTCTCTCTCAAATAAATAAAATCTTTAAAAAAAAAAAAAGATTTATTTGGAATTCAGTTTCAGTTATGTATCATATTAGTTATGACATTAGGAAGATGTTGGTTTAGTGTTGACTGAGCTGAGCTCAAAACAATATTCATATGATCCAAATACTGGAATAAGAATATATTACACACACACACATACACATATCAAACACATGTATACAGGTATAACACATATATATATTCACACACATATCGTTTGTCTTATTTGGTGGAAATACAGAACTTTGTATAAAAACTGTTTTAAATTGCTTAAATGTCTTTATTTGTCGTAAAAGAATAACTTCAGTGCTTAAGTCAAGTCTCAAGAAATTTTGAATTCAGTAAAGATTTAGAAGATCATTTATGCTATTGTATGCCTCCTCCCTGTTTAATAATCTAAAAGATAAATTCATTTCTGTATGTTTTCTCCAGTATCCAGTCATTCAGTAAATACCGTTAGGGACCTCTTAGGTGCCAGGCTTGATCTAGAGACTTGGGATATGTCAGTGAGTAAAACAGACAAAGATCCCTGCCCGCAGGGACTTTGCTCTCCAGTGAGGGACACAGACAATAACCGTAGTTAATAAGTGAATGTTTATGGCAGAAGGTGGTAAAAAGAAGATGCAGAACTGGGTAGCAGGGACCAGGAGTGCAGGTTCTCACTGTTGGTTAGAAGTGCACGGGAGGTGAGCGAGAGAGCCATGCAGTGATCCGGGGAGGGGGAGAGCATTCCAGGCAAAGGGAGTAGCCGTGCTAAGGCCCTGAGGTAGCCAGTGTGGTGCCAGTGTGGGAGGCAGAGTAAGGGGGGAGAAACTGGGCTCCCCCTCTGAGTGAGATGGGGCTTCTGTGCCCTGACTTAGGTTTTAAATCCTAATGTCTGAACATAGCTGATTTTCAAGACATAATCTTGTACTGTATGATGACTTCGACTTGAAAGTTAGGTGTTGGGTGGGCCAGTCGGTTACTTTGATGAAATGTTATTTCTTCGTACCTGTATCTGTATTTACACACGCTGTGTTTGTGATGAGGGAAGACAGTAAACCTGTTTTCCTTTCTAGGTATAAAGTCATGAAGAACTGGGGTGTTATAGGAGGAATTGCAGCTGCTCTTGCCGCAGGGATCTATGTGATTTGGGGTCCTATTACAGAAAGAAAGAAGCGTAGGAAAGGTAAGAATGAGGTCATTAACCCCGTCCACTGTCCCACAACAGTACAACAAGGGGTGGGCATTTTTTGTTCTCTTGTGTCTCCAGCTTTCGGGCAGTGCTTTCTTTTAAGCAGAAATTAATGACTCATTATTTTAGATCCTGTAGTGCAAAGATTTCTGTTCCCCCCCCTCAAATCTTGAGTTTGAGACATACTCTGTCACGAAAAATTTCACGTGGCTTAACTGTCTGACTGTTCTCCTTCATCTGGTGCTTGTATTGTTCAGCAGTGCGGCTGACTGATCGTGTGATACGTTTGTGGTCTCACTGCCGAGCTGCGAGTCAGCTAGGAAGAGTTTCCAGTTAGCGTCTTTAATACAAAATTCTATTTCCTTATTTTAAAACAAGCCCCCTTTTGTAAATGCTGCTCTCCCTGTGTTGATTAGAACAGCCACAACAAACAAACAAAAAAAGGGATCGGTATAGCAAAATGTTCATCGTTAAATCTGGGGGTGGTTATGATTGGAGGTGATGATATATCCTCTCTTCTTTTATGCATGTGTGAGAACTTTCCTAATAAAAAGTTTCTTGGAAAAGTTTCAGCAGAAAAGGGAAGTATGTCAGATTTTGTCGATCTCTCTGCAGAAAGACTGATCAGAATTGCTATGGTGGTGTCTTTTGCACTGATTACAAGAACAAAATCATTGTCCTGGGGAGCAACAAAAGAACGGTTGTTTTCTTCTGTTCTGACGTTGCTTTCTTATCAAAGGAGAGAGAGAGAGATGTTACGAAGTGTTTTGTACAAACCGTGCCAGACACCGTGGTGGCGGTCAGGAGTAACCCATGACAGGGGACCTGTCCTTCTGTCGCTTCCAGTCTTCTGAAGGAGCAGCGCTGGGACCAGGCCTCCATACGGACAGAATGTCTGATCCCCCCCCTCCCCCCCCCCCCCCCCCCCCGCCGCCGATGTCTGTGGATAAGGACTTTCTGAGATTGGGATTTTCAGTGTCAGGTTCCAGTGCAGAAAGTCTGGCTCCCAAATGGGAGAGAAAGAAAGAGCAGGTCCAATGTGATATGCTTTTCTCTTCTTCCCCTGACTTTTTTCAGGGCTGGTGCCTGGCCTTGTCAACCTAGGGAACACCTGCTTCATGAACTCCCTGCTGCAAGGCCTGTCTGCCTGCCCCGCTTTCATCAAGTGGCTGGAAGAGTTCACCACCCAGTACACCCGGGATCAGAAGGAGGCCCCCCCCCACCAGTATTTATCCTTAACGCTGTTGCACCTCCTCAAAGGTATCTAGCTGGGAACTTAAAGGGGATTGTGTGCATTTTGAAAACAGCAGCCCAAATGACAGGCAAAGGGCTAATAGCTTTTGTGTGAAAAAAGATCATGCAGGGCGCCTGGGTGGCTCAGTTGGTTAAGCGATTGCCTTCGGCTCAGGTCATGATCCTGGAGTCCCAGGATCGAGTCCCGCATCGGGCTCCCTGCTCGGCAAGGAGCCTGCTTCTCCCTCTGACCCTCCCCCCTCTCATGTGCTCTCTCTCTCTCATTCTCTCTCTCAAATAAATAAATAAAAAATCTTTAAAAAAAAAAAAAGATCATGCAGATCATCATGAAAAAAAAACAAAACACACTGAGGGCCCAGTAGATACAAACAGCTATTTAAAAAAAAAAATTTTAAGTTGTAACCATTTATTTTTAAAAATTATCAGTGTATTAGCAGCTTTTTAGGGAAGAGAACAAATCCACTGCCACTTAAGCATTTTGATTGTAAGAAGTCCTCTGGTTAATTAAAGTTTAGAAAAAAAGAAGCGTCTTAGCCCAAGAAATAAGGTGGTTCGCAGAAGAAATAGTACAGACTGTATTTAGGTAGATACGAAGAGTATCTAACGGGCACTCAAATACTCAACTTGGCCATCATCAAAGAAATAGAAATAACATAGCGGTGAGGTTATCGTTGTGTCGCCTGTCAGCAAAGACTGAAAACTCCACAGTCCTGCCCAGCTGTTGGACGACACGTCCAGACGTGCTGGTGGTGGTGTGACCCAGGGCCGGCTTTATGGAGAGCAGCTTGGAACGACACGGTGATAGCTTGCAAAGTGCTCAGTACCATCTGACCTAGGAATTCCGTTGACCATGACCGACGCTAGCCCGAAATGGCGTTGTAAGAGCAGATGAGCTCGGGAGTGGCTGGCCAGCTGCCCTGAGCTGGGGAATCACATGTATACAAGCTTGGCACGGGCCTGAAGCCGTCATCCATCCACCTTCATTTTTAAACCAGCTTTTTTGCCCGTAGAACTAGTTTTTCCTCCCATAACGTCTCTTAACGTCCCGAGAACATTCCACAGAACACGATTTGGGAAATGCTGTGATGTGCACAAAGATTTCCCAAGACCTGGTTACAAAGGAAGGCAGGGGAGGAGAGCGTGTGGGTGTCCCAACAGCAAAATGATTAAGCAGTCACTGGAATATTACATAGCCATTATGAATCCTCTTTGTCAAGTGTTTGTTGTTGTTGTTGTTGTTGTTGTTAATGTGGGAGAGGCATAGACTATAATGTTAAGTTTAAAAGAGCGTTGTTCGAAATATGTTGTAATTTGACTTCAGCAAAGCGACGATTTCCACGGATAAAGGCTGGACAGAAAAAGACCAAAATGTTTACTATGGCCATTTGACAGTTTGGAAACCTTAAAACAAAACAACCATATTTCTAAAGTTCTCAACAATAAGCACATATTACTCTCACAGTCAAAAAAAAATTGGATTTAGAAAACACTTGGCTCACTGTTGCTTCGTGGAGTCGTGTTCCCAGGTGATCTCAGCTTGACACAGAAAGCGAGTTCTGCTCTTCTGTATAACAGGCGAGTTGAAAGTAATTTCTTCTGCTCCCCTGTTTTAAACAAGTACCATCCCAGAGTGGAAAGCTGAAATGCGGGCAATATAACGCAGGTTCAGGACGTGTCCTAGCGTGACTGCCAGTTCCCCTCTCTTCACACGCATGACCCACAGCTGGGAACCAGAGCCATGTGGGCAGCTACACCTGGAATCTAGGCTCCCTTCCCTGCCTCTGCTTTTCAGGGTCATTTATTTTGGTTTTTAGAGATAATTTTTACTTTCACAAGTAACGCATGAATACATTCTGCTGGTAAAAGTTAAAGCATCACGTGTAAGGCGACAGTTCCCTTTATCACTGCCCCACTCCTGTTCCCCTCATTTCTTTGCCAAAGTAAAATACAAGTGTATCCTTCCATACTGTTTCCTGTGCATTTTAATATGTTGCTAAGCACCCACAGAAATTACATATTGTTTCATTTATGTTTTTTCGTAACCAAATAGCATAATAATATCCGTGTTGGAGAAATGTCCGTTCCAGTACACGTAGCCGTACCTCATTCATTTCTTTCTCTTTATGAGTTTATCGGTCTTATGTCTTCTGTGGGCTGCCTGCTCATTCCCATTGCCCAATTTTAAAAAATTGTGATAAAATATCCGTAACATAAAATGTACCATCTTCACCATTTCTAAGTACACATTGGGTAGCATTGAGTACATTCACATTGTTGGGTAACCATACCCACTATTCTCTTCACCAGAACTTTTCCATCATCCCATCCTGAAACTCTGTATCCTTTAAGCAGTGACTTCCCATTCTCCTCGATCCCCAGACCCCGGAAACCACTGTCCTACTTTCTGTCTCTGTATCTCACAGAAGTGGAATCATACAGTATTTGTCCTTGTGGGTCTGGCTTTATTTCACTCAGCATAGTGTCCTTGAGGTTCATCCACGTTGTAGCATGGGTCAGAATTCCATTCCTTTTTAAGGCTTCGTATGAATAATACCCCATTGTGTGTACACACTGCATTTTGTTTGTCAATTCATAAGTCAAGAAACATTTGGGTGGTTTCCACCGTTGGCTATTGTGAATAATGCTGCTGGGCATGGGTGTACAAAGATCTACTCATGTCCCTGCTTTTAATTCTTTTGGGTATATACCTAGAAGCAGAATTACCGGATCAGCTGGTAAGTCTGTTTAGTTCTTTTAAGGGCTTGCCATACTGTTTTACGGGGCAGAGGTACCATTTTGCATTCCCCCCAACAGTGCACGCAGGGCTCCAGCTCTCCACATCCTTGCCAATGCTTGTTATTTAGTCTGTCTTTTTGATAGTAGCCATCATGGGTGTGAAGTGATCATCTCATTGTGGTTTTGATCCGCATTTCCCTACTGGTAAGTGATGTTGAGTAGGAGTCTTCATGTGTTTCTGGCCATTTGTATTGTTGTGGTTTTTTTGTGTTTGTTTCTATTTTATAAATGTCTACTCAAGTCCCTTGTCCATGTTTGAATTGGGATGTCTGCATTTTTATTGTTGTGTTTCGGGAGCTCTTAATATGTTCTGGATATCAATTCCTTATAGATATGTGATTTGCAGACCTCATTCCCTTTCACATTGTCAAGATATTATTATTTAGCTATGTGCCTCCAGGGCCTTGTTGTCATAAACAGGCTACAGTGAATGTTCTTGTTTGTGCCCCTAGTGCGCACAAGCCTGTGTTTCCCTAGCATAGATCCTGGGAGAGTCAAATTGCTAGGATATAAATTGTAGGATGGGAAAAACAGTAGACATTGCCAGATCGCCCCACAGCATTTTAGGCTAAATTAGGCTAAGAGGGACATTAAAATTTTCCTTCAGAGGAGAAAAGCTAACCGACAGGCTGCCTGGGGAGCATAGGAGGAAGAAGGGAAGTACGGTTGCCTGCTTAACGGGCTCCCTTTGTTCTGGAGGGTAAAGGTCTGACCCCAGGCTATGGCCGCCCCGTTAAGGCGAGCCTTAGGACTTAGCACTGGCTAGCAGGGCTGCTGCTTCTCCCCAGGTTACCACCCCGAGTCACCACCACGTTCAGGTAGGGAAGGAGGTGGCATTGCTCAGAACCTCCGGAGTCAGAGCCAAAGGAATGTCTCAAGTTCACTAAGTGCAAATCAGAAGAACTAGGCTAGCTTAGTTTTCCCGGAGTTAATTGAACTTGGGAAGCTGGCCTGTGGTGGCAGGCCCCTGTGTTTTTAGCTCCCGCACTCTAGCAGTACACTGGCCCAGTGAAATATACTATGGAAGGGGGCGGGCAAGATCAGGAATCATAAAACTATGGCGCGTGCGCCACGTCTGCGCCACTGCCTGTTTTTGTCAATAAAGTTTTATTGAAACAGCCGTGCCCATTTACTTGCTCTTTACGGCTGCCGTGGTGTTACAGCAGCAGAGTTGAGTAGTTGCTGCAGAGCCCGCAAAGCCAGAAATGTCCCCTGTCTGACCCTTGACTGCAAAAGCGTGCCAACCCTTGATGTAGCTGTAATTATAATATAAACTCATAAGCCCCTCACACTTCTGTTTTTGTTCGTTAGGCTTGATTCCACTGATGACTGAAAAGTAAACTCAGGGGCGCCTGAGTGGCTCAGTCGGTTGAGTGTCTGGTTCTTGGTCTTGGCTCAGGTCTTGATCTCACGGTCATGAGTTCGAGCCTCGCGTTGGAATCTGTGCCGGGCGTGGAGCCTATGTAAAAAAAGAAAAAGAGGAGAAAAAAAAAAGGGAAAGTAAACCACTCAGCAGCCCCCTTCAGGCTGCCATGTATGGCTTGCTGTTTTACCATGATAATCAAAAACTCCAGGGAGACGGACACAGGTGAAGGCCCTGTGGCCTCAGAGAGAGTCCTGTAGAGGGGAGTCAAGCACTGAGCGTGGGTTGGACTAGATGAATGTGTAAGGGCTCTCCCGCCCTCAGAACTGTGAGTAAAAACCATTTGATTCAGCAGGAATCTTGCAACAATTTATCAATGATGGAAATTCAAATAGCTGAAATCAGTTACTTCATTTAAATGCTACAGGCTCATGAAAAATCACGTTCATTCGGGAAACACGCAGTGCCTAACAGCCCTCTAAGCCTTGGGTAAGGCTACAAAGAGGAATAATGAAAGAGCTATAGTTCCAAGGTGAATTTTACAGTGAGATGCTTAATTAGCTTTGATACGTTGTGCGGGGCAGGTTTCCTGGTTTCTTGTTGTGCTAGTGATGCAATCTAATAATTGCATTACCTTTTTGGTTCCCAGCTCTGTCCTGTCAAGAAGTCACCGACGATGAGGTCTTAGATGCAAGCTGCTTGTTGGATGTCTTAAGAATGTACAGATGGCAGATCTCTTCATTTGAAGAACAGGTGAACACCCCATTCAAAATCCTGCCCACTAATGTGCTGGGGCCTGAGCTGGCAACGAGGGCTGGAAACTAGCCTCGTTGCTGCAGCGTGAGGAATAAATGCCAGTGTCGACCTTGTACTTGCCTGGCCTGAGTGTACATTTCTGGGGCAGTTTAGGATTCTGGAACCAGATCATGAACTTTGTTCCTATTCTCCCGATCAGAGGAGAAAGACAGCTGTTTTTGTTTCTGTTTTTTTTTTTTTTTTACCCAGTGAGTGGCAAGGTTAGCAGGATAGGGTTTGAACAGTTGTCAAAGAGCGATCCTCGTTTTCGTCCTTGAGTGACTTTGCACTTGATTACCTGGATCCTTCAGAGAGCAGCAGGTGGCTTTACCTTAGAAGCTTAGAGGTTCAGGTGAGACCCTTTTTTGAACCATACCCTTGTTTAAAGAAAAAAAAAATCATTTTTCGAGGCTAGATTACTTGAAGTGGCCCCTGACCTTGAGCAGCCGTCATGAGCAACCCCAGGGCCTTACACCAGCCCCTCGTACCCCCTTTCCTGCAACTACAGATTCACTGCCTTTTTTGGTCCCGACCACCCTCCTCCTCCTCAGACCGCTAGTACGGACGGTGAGTCTGAGGCCGAAGCTGAGACAGTGAAGTTGTAGGGATAGGTCATTTAGCTTCCAGTGATGTGCGGGTATGTCCTCCCTGGCCACATTCCTGGGCTGGCTTTGGCCAGCTTTGTGTTGGCTGCTTCTGCTTCCACCATCCAGACACAGGACCCAAGAAATGGGAGACGGCTTTTAGGCTCCCAAAAGCGTGGGACAGGAGTGAAAAGCATTTAAAAATGCTGGAAAGTGAGGTGGGAAAGCTCTCCAGCTGCCCTTATTTTATAGAGACTACCTCTGTTTCCATTTTAGTCTGAAGCTACGTAGGTGTTCCTTTTTAAACATGGTGTTGATGGTATCAACTTTTTTACAAGGCATCTCGATGAATCCCTTGTATATTGAAATGTTTTTCCATTTAGAAAATACTTACTGAATCCTCCTCTGGTAGCTGCCATGATTTAGCTGCATTTTCCTCTCTCTAACCTGAGAGAGTGACAGCGATTTAGCCCCAGAGACATCGAATACCTTGTCTAAGTCCCGCTCTTGTGTCAAGGACCCACTGACGCGCCAGTTCTCTTGGGCAGTGTTTCCAGCAGCCTCAGCCTGCAGCTGAGCCCCGCAGCTGTAGCATTCGAGGGAAAGAGGCGGGCATGGCTGGCCGCCGGCCTCTTCCTCTCTGAAGGCAGCCGGAGCTTCTGGCCCGGGGCCTTGTCCACATCTTCGTTATTCCTGATCCCGTCAGTCAATAGCAGACACTTTCCAGTGTCTGGAGCTAGAGCTCGTGGGGGATGTATCGGGCCAGGCGCTCGCCTCGTGTGAATTCTCGGAGTTCATCCTCACGGCAACCCCGTAAGGACTCACTGTTACTGTCCCCATCTTGCAGATGAGAACACTGAGGTTCAGAGAAGCCCAAAGTCACACAGCTCCTTAAGTGGCAGAGGCAGGATTCGGGCCACTTGTGCTAAAGTGCACAGCAAAGCTCCACCCTCTTCTTCGAGGCATTCCTTTTGTCAAGGCCAAGTAGTTCCATGGCCGACAGTGATGGAATAGGGTTTAGGTCTGACTCCAGCCTGTCTTGGGATTCTTCTCCCTGGGGAACCCTTGTTCCTGCTTCAGATGCCTTGTCTGTGAGCCTCCCGGAAAAGCTGGTCCCCTTTCAGGCGGGAGCACCGCCACTAGATAAATAGCCAGGCGGCCCCATCTGCCCCTGGGTTGTGCGTCCCACGAGGGCCTTGCCTTATTTATCTTTGAACCTTTCATCACTCCCTTGCTAACTGCCCTTCATGGCCTGGGAGGGGATTCTTGTATACGGGCCACAAATGTTTATGGAATGCCTGCCTCAGGCGGGGCCTGCTGAGGGCCTGGGCTTATGGTGGCAAACAGGACTTGCAGGGCTCCTGCTCACAGGAAGCTCCTGTTCTAGTGGAGGACTGTGGACAGTAAAGGGGTACCGCCAAGACAAGCGTGCTGACGTGCCAGTGTGAGTGTAGGGAGGCGTGCAGCTGGGGTGGGGGGCAAAAAGCAGTGGGGAGACTCCCTTAGGTAGGGAGGGCGCTCCTGGAGACGCGAGGTTTTTGCTGAGACCTGAAGTCTGAAAAGAAGGGAGGCCTGTGAGGAGCTGGGTGCAGAGTGTTCCAGACGGGCCTGCGCAGGGTGAGACCTTAAGGATGCCGCGTTGGGGAAGGGCAAGGGGGCAGCGTGGCTGTGGCCAGGGGCAGGAGGGCAGCGGAGGGGAGGGGCTCAGGGCTCGGCAGGCCGCAGGTTGTGCAGGGCCCCGGGCGCTCTGCGCTGGAGCTGGGCTTCTGCTGTGTGTGCAGTGGGACCCACTGGCGGCCTTGTCCAGGGACTGCTGTGACCTGGTCTGTGTTTGAACAGGACATGCTGTCCCGGAGGGACCGAGGGACCGTAGTGGGGCAGAGGGAGCAGAGTGGAGGGTCGGGAGGCCGTTGCTGGCGTCCAGGCGGCCGATGGCCTGGCTCCGACTGGGGTTGAGGCAGGGGGGACGGAGAGTCCTCGGGATTTGGGGTGTGTGCTGGAGGTAGCTGCACCAGCAGGAGGTGGCGGGGGGGGGGGCGCTTCTTATGTCAGGGAGGGCCTTGCAGGAGGGTCTCCTTCAGGACGTGCCTTTTCAGCAGAAATTTGAAGGATGAGAAGGAGGCAACTGTGTGAAGACGGGGGCGGGCTCCTCAAGCCAGGGCGTGGGAAGAGCAGGCCCCGAGATGGGAATGTGTGTGCTGGCTCATGGGGCGGGAGGAGGCCCAGGGCGCAGGCCTGGTGAGTGAGGCAGGGAGGGCGAGGGGCCACATCAGGTCTTCGGGCTTTGTAGGCCGGCTGGGGGTGGGGACTTACCCACCAGGGAAAGCACTGGGAAGTTGAAAGCGGAAGAGGAAAGGCATCTGCCTCTTAAAAGATCACCCTGGTGACTGCAGGGAGAGCATAGCGGGCCAGTGCCTCCGGAATTCAGGGGAAGAGAGACCGACCCATCTCAGAAGAGCCAGGAATGGCTTTGGCTTTCGGGGAGAGCAGCCTCCTGCCATATGATGCAGCAATTCCACGTCCAGTGTATGCCCAAAAGAATTGAAAGCCAGGACTCCAGCGGGTACTTGTCCACCCATATACATAGCCGGTCATTCACAACAGCCAAAAGGTAGAAGCGGCCCGGTGTCCAGCAGCGCGTGAATGGATAAACAAAATGCGGTGTATGTGTGTGTACACATGCAGTAGAATATGGATACGTGTACGTACTTACGTATTCATATACACGCACAATGGAATATCATTCAACTTTACAAAGGAAGGAGATTCTGACACGTGCTACACCGTGGATGAGCTTTGCAGACGTTGAGCTCAGGGCAATAAGCCAGTCACGGAAGGACAAACACTGTATGATTCCTTATCCAAGTTTCCACAAGTGGCCCAATTGCTGGGGACAGAGAGAGGTGGCCGCCGGGGGCTGGGGGCTGGGGATGGGGAATCAGTATTTAATGGGGACAGAGTTTCAGTTGGGGAAGCTAGAGAAGTTCAGAGGATGGGTTGTGTTGATGGTCACACAACAGTGTGAATGTACTTAACCCAACAGGAGTGTATGCTTAAAAACAGTTAAAATGGCAGCTTGGATATCATGTGTGTACTTTACTGCAATAAAAAAGGAGTAGTCCGGTGGCATGGAGGCCAGGGCCATGTTGACAAAGCTGAAACAGGCTCAGAGACAGCTGGTGTGAAGGCAGTGCCCCCCCCCCCTTTCCTTCTCTCTCCCTTTGGGCCCCTTAGTTGAGGGTCTTTGTTGTGAAAATGTCTGGGATATAAACTTGCATTTAATGGGCCGAACCTTGAGAAGGTGGAGAGCAGGGGCACCTGGGTGGCTCAGTTAGTTATGTGGCTGCCTTTGGCTCAGGTCACGATCCTGGGGTCCTGGGATCGAGCCCCGTGTCGAACTCTCTCCTCAGCGAGGAGTCTGCTTCTCCCTCTCCCTCTGCCTGCTGCTTTGCCTACTTGTGCTCTCTGTCTCTCTGTCAAATAAATAAATAAAATTAAAAAAAAAAAAAGAGGGGCGCCTGGGGGGCTTAGTCGTTATGCGTCTGCCTTCAGCTCAGGTCATGATCCCCGGGTCCTGGGATCGAGCCCTACATCGGGCTCCATGCTCGGCAAGAGGCCTGCCTCACCCTCTCCCCCTGCTTGTGTTCCCTCTCTCGCTGAGTTTCTCTCTGTCAAATGAATAAATAAAATCTTTAAAAAAAAAGGTGGAGCAAATTCTGCCCCGTTAGCTGTGGGGGGTCTGCCTGGTGGTGCACACAGGGCCCCCTCGGGCCTCTCTTAAGCTGCTTTGCCCTTTGACAGGATGCCCACGAGTTATTCCATGTCATTACCTCATCCCTGGAAGACGAGCGGGACCGGCAGCCCCGGGTCACCCATTTGTTTGATGTGCATTCCCTGGAGGTAAGCCCTTGGTATTTCCAAGACGTGTGTGGTTTGTGCATTTTCATAGGGATAGATAGAGAACACGAGTATAATCTTTGTACAACTCTAAACTCAAAAGTAAGTCTCAGTAAAAATCAAGAGTGGGCGTGGGGCTGGGGGATTGTCTTATGCTGCAAACTCTGCAATTGGTGACTTTGGTTAGGGGTGTCAAGGCTCTTTAAAATGATTCATTGCTGCAATTTGGGGTGGCTTTGAGAAGAAAAGGTATTTTTCCCCCTATTTAATACAGGGAACAAGGAGCGATAGGAATGCTAAATGAATCCTCATTTCCCTGGAACATGATAAATATTAGGGAGTTGATAAAAGTTAACTAATAAAGGGGTGGGGGGAAATATTCCAGAGAGAGGAAATGTGTTTTTCATTTGATGAAGGATTAGGTACAGTACCCAACCAGAGAGAATCATCAGGGCTACTTTCAGGATCTGGTTAAAAATTGGGTTTAAGTGGTGCAACCAGCAGAGAAACTTGTAAGCTTTAGGAGCAGGTGAGGGGGTTAAAAGGGATCGCAGCTGGGTTTTCAGTCTGGTTTTTTTTTTTTTTTTCTTTTTTTTCCCTACAGCAGCAGCCAGAAGTAACTCCTAAACAAATAACCTGCCGCACGAGAGGTAATCATTCCCCTCGAACTATAAGACGCAAGACGGGTACTTTTGAGATGTGACAATGATTTGCTTGTTTACAAAAACAATAACTTTTTTTCTGGGCACATCCAGTCCAATTTGAACTGTGTGTACTTGCAAAGGAACTTGGGTTTTAGAAATAGCTCTATCTTGTTCCCTTGGGCCATCTTGAATTGTTCCCTCACGCCTTGCTCAGTTTCCCGCCTGGAAAAAAAGTAACGGACTTATTTCTACTTCAAACAGGGGTTTCCTTTCTACCTTCTTGAATTGATCTTGTGAGGAGCTTCTTAGGCTGAAACTGTCATATCCTCAGCAAATGATCACAGTCCTCGTTAGAAGGAGATTGTTGTTTTCTTAAGACCTAAACTTAAGGAAAAAAAAAAGGAAAGACACGTGAATTCCTTTGTGCATCAGTAGTAATAACAGTGATTATCTTTTGAGGCCCAAACTGTTTGCCAGGCACCATAGCATCTCATTTAAGCCTCACAGCAATGGTGCGAAGTTGATCGTGGGGATAATGGGTTAATCATTGCCCTCATTCCCAGTGAACAGAGGTTCACAGAGATGAAGTGACTTCCTGGGTCATAAAACTAATAAGAAGCAAAGCCAGGATAGAGCCCAGGGCTGCCTGACTCTAGGGCGTGTGTTTCTGACTAGCCTACCACGCTGTTGATTCCTCCAACTCCTGTCCTATCCAAAAAAAAAAAAATCCAGTTTTTCAGAAGTTGCTTATTCTGATGATTTACAGAAGTTTATCTCACTTTCTGGAATGTTCCCTTGTGGTATCCTTCCTTGGACATCTCAAACATCTTAAGCGAATGTTTGTGAAAATACATTATTCAACACCAGTTCCTTTTTTATTTCATTTTTTTTTCCTTTCAAGATTTTATTTAAATTCAAGTTAGTGAACATATAGTATAAATTCCATTTTTAAATGTGGCTGTACCCATTATACAGAAACCACATTTAAGGACTTGCATAAATTCTCCTGGGAAGGGGATGGGTTGCCTTTTTGATGGAAGTCAATAAGGAAAGCTATTTCAGTTTACTTTTCAGGAACATTTTTTTTCCTAAAGAGGGAGTTGCTACGAAATACTAAAAAGGAGGGTGAGTTTGGAGGTTGGTGCCAAAGGGCTTGAGGTGGCATAGCAAGACATGTTCTGTGTTTCCAGGCTCACCTCACCCCACGTCCAATCACTGGAAATCTCAGCATCCTTTCCATGGAAGGCTGACGAGCAACATGATCTGCAAACACTGTGAACACCAGGTAAATACAATACCAGCGCTTGATATTTTCTGGCGAGGTTTTCTTTCAAGTCGAGACTTGGGAAGCATCTAGAGAGTGTGGACTGATGTTGGTCGGTGGCGTTTGTGGTCACCTGGGCTCTGCGCACCTAGTGGACAGACCGCCTCCCTTTAGTCAGTGACCCTCGGGTGGCATCTTCTGCCCTGAGAGCAGCAGACCCACTGTGCACTGGCAGGAGCTGCGTCTCAAGGTTGGGTCTATACTGACAGTAGACACAACAGATTCTGTTGTTTGGTTGGGTTTTTGGGGTTTGGGGGGGTTTTGCTTTCAGCATTTTAAAATAATTTTTATTTGGAAAATTTCCAACATAAATACAAAAATAGAGAATTGTGTAACTATCGCCTCGATCAATTTTAGGATATTGTCATCCTCCCCACCCCCACCAAAAAAAAAAACCCTGTGCCCATTAGCAGTTACTCTCCATTTCCCCCACTCTTCTAGCCTTAGGCGACCACTAACCTACTTTGTGTCTCTATAGTATTGCCTATTCTGGATATTTCATATGCACGGAACCATACAATACATGGTCCTTTGCGACTAGCTTCTTTCACTCAGCATCATGGTTTTCTTTTATTCCATTAATATGGTGAGTTGCAGTGATTGATTTTTCTAATGTTAAACTAGGCTTGTGTTTCTGCAGTAAACTCCACTTTATTGTGATGTACTTTTTTACATATATTACTGGATTTGGTTTGCTGATATTATCTAAAGGAGGTTAGTGTCCGTTTATGAGGAATATTGGTCTTAACAGTTTTCTCGTAATGTCTTGTCAGGTTTTGTTATGAGGATTATACCACCCTCATAGCATGAGCTGGGAAGTGTTCCTTCCCCCATTTCCTGAAGGACTTGGGTTTAGATCAGTATTGTTTCTTCCTTAAATATTTCCTAGAATTATCCATTTCTTTTTCTTTCTTTAGTTTTAGTTTGGCGGAATTTTTTATGAGACTTTGCTGTTAGGTACATACACATGTGCTAATTATGATGAGTTTACTCTCACTGTCTTGGTAAAATGTCCCTTTTTATCTCTGGTAAGACTCCTTGTCCTGGAGTCTGTTTTGTCTGGTTAGTTTTCATCTGAGTGGTGTTTCTTTCTTCCCCTTTTTTAAAAAAATTTTATTTGTTTATTTATTTGAAAGAGAGAGAGCAGAGGGAGGGGCAGACGGAGAGGGAGAATCTCTCAAGCAGACTCACCGATGAGCGTGGAGCCTGATGCTAGGCTCCATCTCAACCCTGAGGTCATGACCTGAGTCGAAATCAAGAGTCAGATGCTTAACCGACTAAGCCACCCAGGCGCCCCTAACTAGTGTTTCTATAGGATATCTCTTTCTGTTCTTTTATTTTTGACCTAACTTTGTCTTTGTATTTAGAGTGTGGCTTTTGTAGATAGCATATATTTGGGTTCAGTTTGACAATTTGCCTTTTAATTGGTGTGTTTTGTCCATTTACATTTAACATTTTTATGTGGTCGGATTTAGGTCTGCTAGTTCACTGTTTTCTATTTGTCTCATAATTTTTTGGTAACATTTCTTATATCTCTCTTGGCAACAAATTCATTTGGTTTTCATTTATATGAAAATGCTTCTCTTTTGCCTATTTTTTTCCCCCCAAGAATAGTTTTGTTTGGTACAGATTGGGGGGTTGACAGTGTTGCTGTTGTTCAGGTTCGGTTTGATTTGGTTTATTTGTTTTTTTGACTGAAGTCATTTGGTGCCTCTGTTTCCAATCATGGAGTCTCGTTAGGAAGCAGATGACTACGGAAGGGTCTCAGTTTATGGAGGGGAAGACGAAGCAGGCAGAGTCTGTGGTAGCGATTGCCTTGCATCATCTTACAGCACATGGAAACCTTATGTCCAGATGCCCCCCACCGCTGACTTGCTGTTTCATGATGGAGGGAGATGGAGGGGAAGATCTAGGTGGAGGGTAGTGCAGGAAATCAGATCTTCCCGAAGTCTCTACTCTCCACACCTTGCCCACTAGCTCTGAAAACCACATTGCTTCTTGAGCAGCCTGGCAGGGCCTGAAGGAGCCTCTCAGATGCACCACGGGCTCTCAGGCTGTGACCGGTGAATTTGCAGCAGTTGCCCTCTCTCCTCGCTCCCCGCCGTTCTCCCCACCCCCACGCACCCGCTCCTGGTTGTGCACCTCCTTCTGATCCCCGCCACGGCCACCTGTTACGTGTGAAGCAGTCTACAGATTGCACTTGAGCATCAGGCAAAGAATAGCTGACACGTGACATGTGGCATCAAAGCGGGAAGATAGGCCTAGAAGCCTGTGCGGGAGGGTGACATCTTCCCTTCAGGGGCGAAGCCGAACCCTTGAGGGCCTTGTCTGCTCTTGAGCTTCCACCCCTGTTCCCGCCAGTCAGAGCCCCCCCCACCCCAAGGAAATGCGACTTGCCCGATGCCACAGAGCAGCAGAACCAGGGCCCTACCTCTCAGGGTCATTCTCTCTCCCAGCCGCACCCCCCCCCCCATCGTGGAGGGGGCGCCTGCATGCCTGCCTTGGTTACTTTCAGTTCGTCACTGTAAAGGTGTTGTTCTGTTGGCTTCTGGCCTCCACCTTTTCTGATGCACAGCCAGCATCATTCACGGCGCCCTCCTGTTCGTAGAGTGTCACTTTTCTCCCTCTGCCAGCTTATAAGATTTTCTCGCTACTTTTGAGTTTCAGCTGTCTGTGCACCCTGTGCCTAGGTGTCCTTTTCTTTGTATTTGCTTGGAATTTGCTGAATTTCATAAATCTGTACATTTATGTTTTTCATCAAATTTGCACATTTTTTTTGGCCATTATTTTTCCAAAAAATTTTATGCCCCATTCTCTACGTATTGGTCTGCTTGATATTGTTCCACAGCTCACTGAGGCTTAGTTCATTTTTCTTCAACCTCTTTCCTCCACGTTCTTCAAATTGGGTAATATCTATGGACTTATCTTCAAGTTCATGGACTCTTCTCCATCTTCGCTTTGCTTGTCCAGTGAACTTTTCTTTCTTTCCTTTTTTTTTTTTAAGATTTTATTGATTTATTAGAGAGAGAGTGTCAGTACTGGAGGAGGGAGGGGCAGAGAGAGAAGGAGAAGCAGACTCCCTGCTGAACAGGGAGCCCGATGCGGGACTTGATCCCAGGACTCTGGGATCATGACCTGAGCCGAAGGCAGAGGCTTAACCAGCTGAGCCACCCAGGTGCCCCCCAGCGAACTTTTCATTTTAGTTATTGTTCTTAGTTGTATAATATCCATTTGGTTCTTTATAGTTTCCATTTATCTGCTGAGACTCTCCATTTGTCCCCCACCAGGACTAAATAACTGTCTTCCTTTGTGTCCTTGAGCTTATTTGCCATAATTCTTTTTAAGGTCCTTGTGCTAATTTCAGTATCCAGGTCATCCATAGGATCCTTCACCATGGGTCACATTTTCCTCTTTGTGCTGTATGTCTAGTAATTTTTTATTGCATATTTAACATTGTAGTAGAGACTTTGGATTCTGTTATGTTTCTCTGAAAAATAATGAATTCTGTTCTGATGTGCAGTTAACTTGGCTGAGCTCAAAGCCAAACTGTCTTCCCCACGTCAGGCAGCAAAATCTGCAGTTTTCTCAGCTTCTAGCTTCTGCTTTTTTGCCAGGCTCCTGGAGTTTCCCTGTGTAGGTGTGTTTGTGTGGGTGCGCACACACGCATGTGCGTGACTTGGAATTGGGCAGGGTTTATACATTGATCTGGGGGCTCATGCTCTTGGTGGCTCCCCTCTTTCTGGGATTTCCCCGAGCCTCTGCACCAGCCCTGAACTCTGTCTTCTGATACCTCCATCCTGTGAGACTGCAGCTTTTTGCCACCTGACACTGAACTGCAGAGACCCGGGAGTTCCCTCAAGCGAAAAGTTACACAATGCAAATCTCACTGCAGAGTTCCTGTTTCCCAAGAGTTGACAGTAGCTCTCTAGTCGTCCAAACGGTTGTGTTTTGTTTTGGTCCAGAATTTATATGCATTATCTCAGGGAGAGCTAGTCTAGCCAAGCTACTCTGCCATCACCAAAAGCAGCCACTCTTACCCTATTTTATCATCTGGGTTTTTTTGCAGTTAATAACAGAACAGGCACATCTTTCCATACACTCACCCATTCCTCTACTGTGCTATTTTGAACAGAGCATGCTGTTCTGTGGACATGACGTAATTTATTTAATCATTCCCTAGAAATTTCAACTGTTCACATTTTGCTGTTATAAATAATGCCGGGATGAACATCCTCATAGTTTTGTCCATGGTTATTTCCTGAAGATAAAATTCCTACATTGCTGGGTCAGGTATGTTCTTTTACAGTTACCTTATAAGCTGTCCTTCAGTATCACTGTACCTCTGACGTTGACAGGGTTGTTTGTAATAGAATTTGCTTCTAGGTAGGTACACCGTGTTTCAATATGTCAGTGTTGGGCATCTAAATATTACACTGTTTCATAGGCATGTGTCTTCCCATCTCTAAAGCTCTGACTTGAACCTACGTCCTTTCTGGATTTTCTGCAATGTTTGTTTCAGAGTCCTGTTCGATTTGATACCTTCGACAGCCTTTCACTGAGTATTCCAGCTGCCACGTGGGTATGTACCGAGCGATGGTTTTTTTGGGGTCCATTTTGGAGACATTCAAATCCGAACGGGCTTTGAGACATGTTGTGTAGCCAAGGTACTATGCATTACTCAGACACATAGTTGGCTGAACCTGTCTTGGTTGTAATGTGTGGTACCATGGCCTGATCTGGCGGGAGAAGAAAGTGGATGGTTTTTCTCTGGCTGCAGGAATTTCGGCTTTTTTCAACACACACACGTATTAACCTCAAATTCAAAGATCTCTAAAACAGTGTGGGAGTCCATAAGTTTCTGCAGTGTTACGTACGTCCTCATAGCCTTGAATCCGCCCATAATAGCAAGTCTAGGATGCTTTGAGCTCCCACGTTTGCTCAGGGAACGTCCAATTGCATCTATGAAGCTTTATTGCCCATATAAGCAAAAATAAAGCTCTGGGATCACATTGCCTTCTGTTAATAGTTTCCCTGTAATTGATTGTAATCATGAATTTTGTTTTCTGGTGCTAAAGGGGCATCCACTGACCTTGGACCACTGCCTTCACCACTTTATCTCATCCGAATCTGTGCGGGACGTCGTATGTGACAACTGTACGCAGGTAAGCCTCTAATGCCCGGTGTCACCCCCCAGCGGGCCTGTGTGTCCCGATGCAGCACCTCTCACACCACTGCTCACCGCTCGCCTGAGCTCCTCTGACTATACCCAGGGGGGCTTTTCAGCCACAGCCACGTAACCTGGCTAGGAAATTGGTAGCTCTTCCCCAGATGGGTTCACTTCATCTGCAGAATAGTTAAAGAAAAACCCTGAGTGCTGTGCTTTGAGACAGGACCTCCCTCCCCCCCGCCCCCCGACCGACACTCACCTGCCTGACTCCCCTGAGCGTTCATGTGTCATCCTCTGAAGAGGAACCGTGGGCAGAATTTCTGAGGACACAGAACAAAATAGATGATGCGCCACAGCAGAGTTCCTGCATCGCACTGTCATTTCTCTTGTCCCCACTGTCACTGTTACTTAACGATTAAAACAGTGAGAACGACTCACAATTAACTGGGCAGCTGAGCTCCTTTCGCAGGTCAAAGTCAGGTGCCAACTGAATACAGGTGTAACACCAACCTGGCTGTGGCCCTCCCCAGATGTTACACTTCAAGAACTTCTGCAGAGCGATCTTTCTCTTACTTCAGATCGAAGCCAGAGGGACGTTGAATGGGGAGAAGGTGGAACACCAGAGGACCACCTTTGTTAAACAGCTGAAACTAGGCAAGGTGAGGCCCCCCCACACGCCTTGTTGGCTTTGCCCTCGGGGACCCCTGTGTCCCGCCCCCTACACTCAGCCACGTCCGGTTTCTCTCCCGTCCCTGCAGCTCCCTCAGTGTCTGTGCATCCACCTGCAGCGGCTGAGCTGGTCCAGCCATGGCACACCCCTGAAGCGGCATGAGCACGTGCAGTTCAACGAGTTCCTGATGATGGACATCTATAAGTATCACCTCCTCGGGCACAGACCTGGTCAGCACAGCCCCAAGCCCAGTGAGACCGTGGGGCCCACCCTGGACCTGCAGGACGGGCCGGCTGCCCCCAGATCAGGTGTGTGCCCAAGGGGCTAACACACGGAACTTACAGCACAGGGAAAAGGAATTTGGTGTCACCACCTTCTGGGGCCCTTATGCCACGAGGGGAGCTAGTCCAGCGGTTGCTTAAGTTCTTGAGAATAGCAGGATTGGGGGTACGGGAGGGAAGATTCCTTAAAAGAGGTTAAACTTACATAGTAACGAGGTGTATGGTTTTAAAAACAGTATCACAGTTGAAAAAATACGGGAAGAAAAACTTAAGATTGCTGACAGAAGGGTAATTGGCCCCTAGCATTCCAATGAATTTCTTCCCCCACCCCACCCCGTAGGGTCATGTCATTTATAAAGATGTGGGGAGGAAAAGTTCTGGCTAAGGATCATGTCCTCGTTACTGAGTTCCTTACTGATCTAGCTCCACTGCTCTCCTCACTTGAGACTAATTACCGAGTCGGGCCCCCCGGGAGCAGGTGGCTCTTACTGCCCCCGGTCTTGGCTGAGGGGAAAATCGAGGCCCCAGGAAGTGAAATGACTGGTCATAGAGCAAACATCAGTCCACTGGGAGGACGGGCACCAGAAGGCAGCGTTGGGCAGTTTTTAAAAGCTATCTTTTCTAACGCCTTGAGTTCTTTAGAATTACATAGACCAGGAAAACCCACCGACTCTGAGGGCTCCAAGCCTAGACTCCCTGTCCGCACCTGCTCCCAGTCAAGCCGGAGGCCTGGCTTCCCCGCACCCTGGATGCTCCTGACTTAGCGTCCCTTGCTGCTTTTATTCTTTCTCGCCTCTACGGTTGTGTGGCCTGGCAGGACACCATTCACGGGGAGACTGTATTTTGCCTTTTTTCAGATCAGTAGACGAACGTCAGAGCAGCCATGGTGTGAAGAGGGCTCAGTCTTCGGACCGCCTCACCCTGGATCCCTGCTCCCCCGGCCGCATGTCGCAGCATGCTCGCTGTGGCTCCTGTACAGCCCACAGGGGCCTGCTGGGTACTCACAGGGCCCCGCACAGGGCACTTGAAAGGGCAAGAGAGGTCAAGATCTCCTTCGTTATTTTACCTACACCCATCAACATTTATCAACACGGTTACGTGTTGGTATTCTTTAGAAGCTGGCAATTAAAGAATAGAGAATGTTGAGGTCCGTGGTTCTCATCAGGGAGTTTTGTCCCCTAGGAGACATGGGGCAGTGGCTGGTGGCATTTTTGGCTGTCACAACCAAGGAGACGGGTGTTACTGGCATCAGGTGGGTAGAGGCCAGGGATGCTGTGAAACCTCCTACGATGCCCAGGACAGCCCCACAACCAAGAGTTAACCCAGCCCACGTGTCAGTAGTGGGAGTTGAGAAACATTGGTTTAGGTTGAAATGCCAGTAAATTAGCTACAGCTTAACTCTGGCGCATCTTTAGCAAACAGGGACGGGGGCTGCAAGATTCACGAAGCTGTCAAAGTGAGCCACAGACCAGGAGTTAGACCTGCTTTTCCTACTCGGGATTAAGAAAGTCAAGGACAAAAAGGTAGGGGCGCCTGGGTTAAGCTTCTGCCTTCAGCTCAGGTCATGATCCCGGGGTCCTGGGATCGAGCCCCATGTTGGGCTCCCTGCTCAGTGGGGAGCCTGCTTCTCCCTCTCCCCCTGTTCCCTCTCTCTCTCTCTCTCTCTCAAATGAATAAATCAAATCTGGAAAAAAAGGACAAAAAGGTAGGAATCAATCCAACACAAAATGAATTTGTTTTTCTCTTTGCAGCATTGTTGGGGAGTTAAACTCAAGGTAATGGAGGGCACGGTGTGTTCTCCTACAGCCACTGTTGCGGTAATTGCCTTGGGCCTTTTTCTCTTGCAGTTCTGGATCAGCCCGGGGGCCCGAAAACACACATTTTTATGAATGGAGCCTGCTCCCCATCTTTATTGCCCCCCCTGCCAGGCCCGATGCCCTTCCCGCTCCCGGTGGTTCCTGACTACAGGTGAGCCGCCCTGGAGAAGCACAGTCTTCATTTCTCATAGCTCCTGGTTCTCTTGGTTTCCAGAATTAGCTTTGCACAGAAATGGATGACAATGCAGACATTTTTCTTTCATCTTCAGGTGTAATTTCACTATTACACATTCCTGTTTATTTTTGTCCCAACTGGAAAGCACTTTAAAAATAAGAATTCTAGGGCGCCTGGGTGGCTCAGTCGGTTAAGCGACTGCCTTCGGCTCGGGTCATGATCCTGGAGTCCCTGGATCGAGTCCCGCATCGGGCTCCCTGCTCAGCGGGGAGTCTGCTTCTCCCTCTGGCCCTCCCCTCTCTCATGTGTTCTCTCTCTCATTCTCTCTGTCTCAAATAAATAAATAAAATCTTTAAAAAATAAAAATAAAAAAAATAAGAATTCTAGAAGTACGTAAAATTTAAATATATGCGTTCTGTGTATGTATGTGGGAATGCATCAGTCTGCATTTTAAGGGTCGTGTAGTGTTCACTTGTATGGAGGTACCCTCTATCAGTCCCCCATCACCGAACAGCTAGGATTCTTTCACTTTTTGGTTTTGCCCATGACCCTTCTTTTTTGTATCTGTAAATGGCTTGCATGTGTTCCTCCCATTCAGCTCCTCCACGTACCTCTTCCGGCTGATGGCAGTTGTGGTCCACCACGGGGACATGCACTCGGGACACTTCGTGACTTACCGACGGTCCCCGCCGTCGGCCAAGAACCCTCTTTCAACCAGCAACCAGTGGCTGTGGATCTCCGACGACACGGTCCGCAAGGCCAGCCTGCAGGAGGTCCTGTCCTCCAGCGCCTACCTGCTGTTTTATGAGCGTGTTCTCTCCAAGATGCAGCCCCAGGGCCGGGAGTACAGGTCCGAAGAATGACGGCCCTGCCCCAGAGCCGATGGCACTGTCCACGTGGGCCGGGAACCAGGCAAGATCTGGCTGTGTGTGCGTGCGCAGGTGGCCCCGCTAGAGTCCTCAGCCTTCTGGTGTGTCCTCAGAGCGGGCTCCATGCAGGAGCCGCTGGCCCCCAGTTCAAACCGAATCTAGCCCCCTGAACAGCTCTGGGAGCGTGCGCTGGGTGGTGTCCTCACTGTGCTGCGACCATTCATTCTTAGAACGTCTTTTTACTCACCTGATACAGGTAATTAAAAGAAACCCGGTTCTGGAAGCCACCTTTTTTATATTCGGCTATGTTAGGTGTTCTCAGAGGGGAGGTCACTTTGTCTAATCCTCCAATCGGTTTCAGCAGAGATCTTTTATTTTTAATAAGCAGGCCCCCAAAATTGGTGAAATTATTAAAGGCAACAATTTGGAAGAAAAAGTGCCTTTCACTTTCGATTGCTTTTGTAGCACGTCCATTCTGGAAAATACACATTGTCTAAGAGTCCTCTGAACAACTTTTGAGAAAAGCTCTGCTCCTTGCAAGTTTCTCCGCGGAGAGCAACAGGACTCCTAAAAGACGCCTGAAGAACACCCGCCTTCTCTTTTTGTGGGTCTTTTCTAATCTTTGGATTCTTTCTGTCATCAAAGTGCACCTGCCAAATCTGCCCCCCCACCCCCACCCCGGGGTGGGGGGGATTCTTCCGCTGCTCCGCCAGCTGTGAGCTGCTTCCCGCTTGCTCTTACTGTCGGCACACTGGACGGGAGACGTGACGATGGTCTGTCATCCAACTGCGTGAACAGTGGGCACGGGGCAGCGTCCGTGCCGACCACTGCACCTCCTCTGCTCTGGACAAAGCCAGTTTTTACACGACATCCCCACCCCCCCGTGGACGGTTATTTCTAACTCTGTCACCCCTGCAGTGCTCCCGAGGTTCACAGGTGCAGCTGGGGGCTGTGTGAGATTCAGGAGCTGGGGTCTGGAAGGGCACTGACCGCAGGGCCACAGTCGGACTTCCTCGTTTGGCAAGGGTAGGCTTAGGCTCAGCGAGCATCCAAACCCCAGCCCTTTCCACAAAAAAGAAGAAAGTTTTCAATTTGTAAAAAACGTATCCTTACAGCTGATCATCTAGTACTGTCATTTTCTTATAGGTCCATACTCTACATTTATTGTACAAAGACTGTACTGAGCATTCTCTTCCCTCTTGGGAGAAGGCTCATGGGCGCAGCCCAGCACCACAGGAAGTTTGAGGACACAGTGGTATCTATGTTCTAGCTAGGTTTTTTATTAAAAAAAATTCAAACGGACTCTTCAGAGTTAAGATTTGGAATTTGAACTTTCTAAAAGGTCACCCGAGGTGAGGCTGAGAACGGGGCTTCCCCTGGGGGGGTGGGCTGGCAGACGCTGCTAGACCAGGCCTGGGTGTCCGCAAAGAGCGCAAGGGGCCCGGGTGATCGCCGTCCCGCCGGGCCCAGCACGCACCCCGAGGACTCACAACTCTCGACCGACTGAACGTACCATGGAAGGTTCTCCGGGCCCCGGACGTCCGGGAGAGAGGAGCAGCGTGAAGCGTCCTTCCCGGTTCCGTTGCAGGCCCTGGCTTTGATGTTGCCTCGAGTACAGCTGTTTTGCCTGAGTCCGGGGGACAAACACCCGATGATGTGACCCTTACACCGTGCCGCAAAACTAGCTTTCAGTAACTGCTCTTCTGCCGCCGTTTCCCCTTTGAAATCTGCTGTTAAAGAGATGCCGGGCCCGGAACGGTCAGCTGTAAGCTGATGGCGGGTCAGAGGCTGGGGTGGCCATGCACAGTCTCTGACCCGGACTTAAAGCTGACATCCTCATTTTGTAAATTATTAGGCATTAAGTAGCAGCCACCTCATCTTTCTAGCTTTAAGTTATTTACAGAGCGGCTTCTCTGGGCAAAAACCTAAGTTAAACTAGTAGTTTATGCCATAATAACTTCTGATTTATGTATTTGCTAAAGGTACCTTTTGTATCTGCTGTGTATTATAGTAATAAAAGAATCTTTTTGTTAGGAAAAAAAAAACTGATTCTTTCATAATTGACCAACTTGATACAACCATCCTCTTTCTGAATTCTGCATTGTTAGGTAATAAGCCCCATGCTTGGATGCAGCCTTTCCTATGTTCCCTGTTGGGAAAAGAGAAGCCAGCTCCCTCTTGGAGTAGAGAGGGAAGGAGAAAAGAGAAGAACAAACCACCGACAAAGTTTTTACTTTTTAGTGGGCAGAACTTTGCGAAATGTCAGATTGACCCGTGGGGCTAGAATCTTCTTCCGTACGGGGAGACTGTGGTACCAGTGAGTGTTGGTCGGGTGGTTCATCATAAGCAAACTTCCGTGGGCCAGCTGAAGCCTGACCACCTCCACCTTCCGGGTGGGCTTTTTCCCCCGGGAGTCCTTATGCCGGAAGAAGAAGTCTCTGCAGGCCCCAAAGGAGACAGAAGCTATGGGGCTCCCGGGAGCCAGTTCTCGTTCATCATCTCGGTGCTCACCGATGTGGTCACAGCCGTCTTTATACCTGCAGTGAGAACACAAGCCCAGTTTACAAAACAGCCCTCTCCTGGGACCCGCCAACAGGGCAGAATCCTCATTTTCCCCCAGCGTGACAGGTGCCAGGAGCAGCCCCTGCTGTGGGTCTGTGGGGGCTGGAGGGCCTCATCTGGGTCCACAGATGAGCCAAGCCTGAAGCACTTCCACTCGATCTTGTCCTGTTTGATCATGTGCTTTAAAATGTAACTCACCAAAAGCAGCCAAAAACTCGTCTTGGGGTTTTCCCGGTTCATGTATGTAAACCTTCAAATGGTTTCTCCCCTACTTAGAATAAAAAACCCTGACTCCTTGCCAGTTTGGCCCCTGCCCGTCTCTGAGCTCATAATAGCCCTCTCTTCCTCCCCTCATTTGCTGCTCCAGCAGTTATCAGTGGGATTTCCGCTCCTTACACACTCCAAGCCCCCTCTGCTCTTCCTCAGGATGTCTGTGTGGCTTGCTCCCTCATTCCATGTCATCTCAGCACCTCAGGGAGCCCTCCGCTAACCACCTTCCCCTAAACTCAGGGTTGGTAAGCAGGGCAGTTCTGTCCCCCCAAGGGACGCTCGGCAGTGTCTGGAGACATTCTGGTGGCTGTGACTGGGGAGGGGATGCTCCTGGCATCCAGGGGGTGGAAGCCAGGGAGGCTGCTCACATCCTGCAAAGCACAGGGCAGCCCCGACAACAGAAGTATCCGGCCCAAAATGTCAGAGTGTTGCTGGTGCGAAACCCTGCTCTCAACTTAGACCCCTTCTTCCTGGCCATTCTTAGCAATATCAGCCTGTTTAATTTTCTTTAAGACACTTATCAGCGTCTGAAATGATCTTGTTCAACGGTTTGTTCATGAGAGAATCACCACTCACTTCCGCTGTGGCGTGGCCTCCACAAGGACCAACTGCTGATGCTCTCCTGGCCACATCCCTGCCGCACTAAGGGATTTGTTGTACAAATGAATAAAATATGGTGGATCTTATCTTTAGGGAACAAACTGAGGGCTGGAGGGGGGGTGGGTGGGGGGATGGTGTAACCGGTGATGGGCATTAAGGGGGGCACATGATGTGATGAGCACTGGGTGTTATATGCAACTGATGAATCACTGAACCCTACATCTGCAACTAAGGATGTACTTAATACTCTATGTTGGCTAATTGAATTTAAATTTAAAAAAAAAATGATGGAATCCTAAACTCCCGCCTTCAGAAGAAGCAGATTTATACAATTCAGTCCAATAGCCGAAAAAGGAAAAGGAAAAAACCAGGTAGAGTGTCACCTGTTGACAAGCACAAAGTTGAAAGTCTCTCCTGTCACCATAGAAACACGATCCCGGACGTGCTCTAGAACTGGGATCCAGGGCTTTGGAGACAGAGTGAGGCCCGAGAACGTGTAGGTCAGCCCCGCGTTGCCATAGGTCGCTTGCTTCCTGGGCACACTGTGCCACTTCCCGAACACCTGGATCCTGGCCAGCGCACCTGTGCAGATAAAACACGGCAGCTCAGAAGAGCAGGCAGGCGAGTAACCCACACGCTTGCTCCCTGAGGATTCAGGATCGAAAGGAAACTGAAACAGGAGTAACATTTCACTTCCTGACCAGGGACAGAAATCACTGTGGCTTCCCCAAAATGTTCACGTAAGAACAGTGGTTCTTGTCCTACACTTAGAGAAACACGCTCTCGTCCAATTTTCTTTTTTTTTTTTAACACTATGCTTTAATTTTAAGCCTTAACTCCAGTAGAAGCATAATAAGAGGCTGAAATGCAAGCAAACTGAAGTCAGGCTACACGCTAGGGTGATTCTGCCAACCATGGGGACTAAGGGTGTGGGGCCCCCAAGAGAGATGAAGCCAACGCAGTTAAGGCTGTGGGCTGGGGTCTCCCGTGTGCTTCTCTCTGCCTCCACGTGCGCTGCCACCTTGCAGCCGTTCTCAGCGTGTGCTCCCGGACCAACAGCATCAGCAGGCCCTGGAAACAGCCGCTACACCGTGGGGGAGGGCTCCAGCCATCCCAGTTCTCAGAAGCGACAAAGGCCCCCCCGCCCCCCGGGGTGATGCTCAGAACCCCCGCTGTGGGGGAATTACCTGGTTATTTGCTGTCTCTCCTACTAGACCAGCTGCACTTTAGAGTCATCTGGAGGCTTTCTAAAAACACTGCTGCTCAGGCTGCACCCCGCCCCAGCTACTCTGATTCAGCTGGTCTCGGGTAGAACCCAGCATCCCTTTTGTTTTTTACCTTTCCCAGCTGATTCTAATCAGCAGCCAGGTGGCAAATCATTCCCAAGTCTGTCAGCTCCTGGTGGGCAGGCAAACTTTTCTCCAGTTTGTATCCCAGGCGCCCAACATGGTGCTCGGCCCACAGATGCCCAGAGAGTATGTGCTGAATCAGTTAATGAAGTCACCGGTTCAGATTTCCCCAAACACAGAGCACTAGTTTTGTCAAACAAGTCTTCAACACACACCCCGAAGTCCTCGGCTTACCTGTAAAATACTCCACTCCTTGCTCCAGCTCCTGGAAAATCTTGTCCGCTTCGGCTTTGCCAAATAGGACTGTGTAATCACAGCTCAGGCCCTCCGCTCGGATGTGCCGCCAGCTGGGGCCGGCCAGGGGGCCTGCATTCCCTGGGGTTTCTGCCCTGGGCCTCTTCCTGCTGCTCTCCTCGTCTCCTCTCAGCCCTGCTGGGCCTTCTCCACTCACCTCTCGCTCCCTCTTTCCCAAAAGGCCCCCTAAAGCCCCCTTCACCAGGAACCTGTCCATTCTGTCTCCCTAAAGCACACGCCTGGGAGCCAGCTGCAGGGCAGAGAGAGAGAGTTTGCCCAGGCTCTGTCCCAGATGCAAAAATTGGCTTGGTGGCCAAGTGGGCCCACAGAACTTCTCCTCGGTGTTTTCAAGTTCCCACTTTTAACACCATGTCCTAGAAAGGAAGTAGAGGATGTTGAAGTTGGGAGGGTCGCTCAGGATGTCCTGGGTCCCCCACACCTGTCTATGCATCACAGTCAGCTGGCTGTTTTGCAAAACCCCAACTGCCTGCATTCCACCCACCAAGCACCTGACCTTTTCAAGAAAGCCCACCCTGGCACGCCTGGACAAGGGAAGGGGTTTGCCCAAAGTCACCCAGAGAAGCAGATTCCCGGTCTCCTTCCCCCCGCCCCCAACTACTGACCGGCCCTCCCACGCCAGTATGCCCTTGGGTAAGTATAGTGATCCTCGAACGGCTAGGATTCAGAATCTGATCCCAAAACAGTTACACGTGGTCACACGCACGCCGAACTCCGATAGAAAATAAGGATTATGACACCGAGCAGGGGGCGGGGGCTCTCTCGGACACCGCAGACAGCGGCCGCGCCGCCCCGAGCCCGGCAAACACCGGAGGCGGGGCTGGCGGGAAAGAGCCAACACCGGGGCCGCAACGTCACTTCCGGGTGGATTTCGGGGGGCCCGCTGGGAAATGTAGGCACCTCGGCGGAACAGTGCGGTGAGCGGCTCCCTGGCGCCACCTGTTGGCCTCCTGGGCGCGCTGCAGGCACTGCAGGTTTTCCGCCTAGCCACTTAACTCCCTGGGGAGGTGGGCCACCCGGTGGGAGCACGACCCCATGGCTTCTGTATTCGTCTCCACCCGTCGGGCTGTGTGGTTCTTGCAGGTCGCTTACCGTCCCTGGGCCTGAATAGCTTCCCCTGCACAGTGGGGGCTATAAAACCTCCGCGGTGAGAGCACTGTGAGGATTAGATGACAGGACGGGCCAGGAATGCTTTCGTGCTCCAAACAAACGTCAGATTCTGTTACTGCTCCTCATTTTTGTTGACTCTCTGTCTCCCCCAGTGCAATGAAAGCTCCGTGGGATTCGGGGCCTTTGTTTTGAATCTTCTTAGTGCACGGTTGTGCAGATTTTGACAGAAGTACACAGTTGTGTGACCACCACCACGATCATGATCAAGAATGGTTCTGTCACTCCACAAAATTCCCCCAAGCCTTTTAGTTAGAAACTCGCCCTCGCCCGATGCTAACCCCCGAGCCCCTGGCCACCACTGAGCAGTTTCCTGTCCCTATAGTTCCGTCTTTTCCAGAATTTTTTAAAAAGATTTTATTTATTTCAGAGAGAGAGAGCTCAAGCAGGGGGGGCAGCAGAGGGAGAAGCAGGCTTTCCGCTGAGCAAGGAGCCCGATGTGGAGCTCGATCCCAGGACTCCAGGATCACGACCCCAGCAGAAGGCAGACACAACCTACTGAGCCACCCAGGCACCCCTTTTCCAGAATTTCTTATGAATGAAACCATACAATAGATAGCCTTTGGAAAGTAAAGATAAGGGAAGTTCCAAAAGGATTTTCATATGCTAAAGAGGACTCACAGGATACCCGAGGTCTTGGCATTGTCAAACTAAGGTTGCTTTTTCCTCTAGCAAGGAAGGCATTAACAAAGACCGTTTGGAACTTCCGGGAGGAACATTATACTCTGCCTGCCTCAAGTATTTGTCAGCGGGCTGCAGGTTCTAAGGACGTTTAATTTTATCTGTTTCCTTCTGCCTTTGTTTCCCACCTCATCTGCCCTCAGCAGGGTTAAATTTTGGAGATGGAGACAAACAAGCAAAGAATGCATACGATAATTTTAGATAGTACAGAAGCTACTGCGTGACCAGCTAGAATGGGGGGTGGGGTGGGCAGGAGAAGGCCTTTCAGAGGAAGGGACCTGAGTTGAGACCCAAAGCTTACCAGGTAGGGGGACAGTGCATGCAAGAGAGTACAGGCCACACAAGGGACAAGCTGGCTATGTCAGTCACCTCACAGTAGTAAGGGCTTGGGTTAGAGGGAGACAGCTCTGCCAGCAGGGTAAGAAGCTGGGGTTTATTCTAAAAGTTGGAAACTGAAGGGAGGATTTTTACCTGGGGATTACCATGATGTAGCCAGGTGATGAAGAGCAGCAGTTGGTTTGGGGGAAGAACCAGTAGAGGGGCTTGGGGGAGGGAAAGGATGAAGATTTAGAGAAAATCTTGTAGCCAGGATTGTAGCCAGGTGATGAAGAGCAGCAGTTGAATCTGGGATTTATTTTTTAGATAGAACCAAGAGGATCCACTGTCGGTTTGGATGTGGGGAGGGAACGCGGGAACAAGAAGAATGGCAGGTGTACCGGAGTTGCGGGGGTGCCTTGAAGAGGATGCAGACTTGGAGTTTAATCTTCAAGACCTCAGTTAAAGTCTCCCTCAGACCTTACAGGTTAGGCAAAACGCAGGACCGCACTTGGCGCTAGTTTACTGCCAGTAAAATAGGTTGTGAAACAGGATGAGAGCAAAACAAATGGCTGGTTTAATGCTAATTTCCCTCCCACAACAACCCCTCGGGGCAGGTACTTTTTTCTCCTTTTCACCCGCGGTAGAGGTGGAGGGACGGGCCCCAAGGCAGGGGTGTGATGGCTGAGTACAATGAATGAAAGAGTAAGCACAGGAGCTCAACGCACCCAAGGAACCCGCCTACCACCTGAGGCTTCCAGCCCCACCTGGCCCCAGGGGCGTCCCCGGCAGCTCCTCTGGCACATGCGCACTAGGACCCCCGCCGACCCCCACCGCCCCCGACCCCCCGCCCATCCCCCGGACGGAGCATGCGCGGGCCGTTTGGCGCCAATTTCGGACCGCCGCAGCTGGTGCATACGGCGGGTTCCCCGGGCAGCGCGCGTCCGCTCTCCTCGGCTCCGGGATGATCGGCCAGAAGACCCTCTACTCCTTCTTCTCCCCGAGCCCCGCCGGGAAGCGACGTGCCCGCAGTCCCGAGCCGGCCGACCCGGGGACCGGCGTGGCGGCGGTAGCTGAGGAGAGCGGGGATGCGGCGGTGAGGCGCGGCGGGGACAGGGCACCGGGGGCAAGGGACGGGGAGGAGGGCGACGGGCCCCGCTCGGCCGAGGGGTTGCAGGGACGCGCCACCGACTCGGTAAGCTGGGTCCCTGCGTTCAAAGCGGACTGCACGTGTTCAAAACAGCCTCTGCCGTTCCCGGTTGGCGGCCATTCTGAGGGGCCAGCCAATGGAGATGGACCTCGGGGCCCACGGCGCCAATCAGAGGCGAGGGGGCCTCCCTGCTCGGCCCGCCGTCCAATCAGAGGGGAGGGGGGGCGGGACTCACCACGGGAGGTTTTTACCGCGAAAAGACCACGTGGGAACGCCGGGGGCGGGGCGCCGGGGTCAGGGCCTCCCTTCCCGCCAACGCCACGGGAGACGTCGCGGGCTTTGCTCACCGCCCCTCTACCTGCTGCAACTTAGAATTCAAAACCCGGGGCAGCGGTTCCTTCCCGGACCCGACGCCCAGAGCCCGCTTTTGCTGCGACTTACCGCGTGGAGGCTGCAGCCCCGCGAATGGGCGTGCTCCGCAATGGGCCGTGGGGTTGGGGGCGGCAGCTGCTGGCGCCCGGGCGCGGCCCGCTGCAGCTCATGACCCGCCTATGCGGGGACCACTTGCAGGCCAGCCCCCCCAAGAAGGCCCGGGCCGTGCAGGAGGACCCCGGCACGCCGCCCTCCTCGCCGCTGAGCGCTGAGCAGCTGATCCGCATCCAGAAAAACAAGGCCGCCGCCCTGCTCAGACTCGCGGCGCGCAACGTGCCGGTGGGTTTCGGGGAGAGTTGGAAGAAGCCTCTCAGCGCGGAGTTCGGGAAACCGTATTTCATCAAGGTAAACCTGGAGGCTGCGGGCCCTTCGGTCCTGCTAGGGTAGCTTGCGGAGAGTCCACGTTTGTAGGCTCCTGTGTTCCCTCTCTTACGTCCTTTTCCCGGTAAGACTTAGGTAAAATAACAGCCACGGCGTTTGGCGTTCGTACGCTTTATTGAAGTTTTTAAAAGACTGTAAGATGGCATGGCTTTTTGTAAACCATTCAGCGGGTCTGCTCTCCAGGAAAGGGCGGCACAGTAAAACCGCAAACCAGACTGCTTGAAACCTGGTGCCGCCTTTACAAAAAGAGGGAGGGCCTGTCACCTAATAGGAAGTGAAAGCAGCGAGACCAATCCACGTAGACCCGGTCCAAACAAAGGGGCAGGGCACCGAAGCGGAGGGACATCTTTGGTGACCTGCGAGTCAAGTTTTTGTTTCTCGAGAGAATTGGGATGTAAAACGTGGCGGAGAGCCAGATAATGCTCCCGGTAGCTTCCACTGGAAGCTTCCTTACTGGATTCTTAACACTTGGCGGTGAGATTCTGATTTGAAATCTGGTTTGTCTTTACGCCAGCTAATGGGATTTGTCGCGGAAGAAAGAAAACATTACACTGTTTATCCACCTCCACACCAAGTCTTCACGTGGACCCAGATGTGTGACATAAGACATGTAAGTACAGGCTGGTGGTGAGTTTTAGTAAAAAGAGGTATGGGAGTCAAATAGTATGTACTTGTTAGTTACCGACGCTGCAGGCAAGTGCCTGTCCGTGGTGGAGTAATAAATAAAATAATGAAATTGTGAAGTTTGGCTGGCTATGTGTTAGCCTGTTAGCTTTCTAACTTGAAGCATGTGCTGTCCGTGCCGCAAAAAAGGGAATATCTGTACATAGACCCGTGTCTATATACTCTAGTTCTTTGTATTTTATTTAATCCCTGAAACCAACGGCATACCAACGTTAGGTCTTTTTGTGGTGATGTTGAGGAAACAGGCATGAAGCACTGAGGTCTTTTGCAACTGGTTAGTCCACCCCTCACCTTAACTTGCAGCTCCCTATTTCTATCTTTTATAGTTGATGCTTTCAAGCTCTTGACTTCTGGCCCAAACGGTTTTACTATCCTGTTAGCATTTCTTTGCACTGGTTCATTCTATATACCGGCTGCTGGTTGGTCTGGTCACTTCAGTCTCCTGCTCAGAAACTTGTTTATGGCTTTACACTCACTCTATGAACCATAGAAGCTGAACATGAAAATAGCCAGTTAGACTTTCCGGCCTTCCCTCCACCCCCAACTCTCCTCCTTCACAGCTGGATAGTGTGACAGTCTTCTGCCTGTCGAAAAGCCAACTAGATCTATCTACGGCACCTCCCTTGAGGCGTGTTGCCCACTACCTTTCTGATCTGGTTTTCCTGTCCAGTACATTTGGTTTCTGCTTATGCTGGAGATCTCATATTCTATTCTTCTCCTTTTCCCTCCCTCATGTTGTATGACGACGGCAGGAATCCTGTGATCCTGTGCTATGTCTGTTACACCAAA